CATGCCAGGGAGTGCACTGTTTGTAGATCTGGATTGTGTGTATTGTCCAAAGCGAGGTGCTGTCTGCTGGTTAGTGCACACTTATTTCTTGTTCTTGGGAAGTTTCAGAGAAGCTGGTGCAATTTTCCGTTTGCCCCTTGGGGCGTGCTATCAAGTGTCAAAAGGAAATGAAGCTTCCTCCCATTTTGTAGCTAAGCAGCAAGTCCTGGTAGTATAAGATACCACTGTTAAGATAACTACGAGTCCAAAGCAGAAGTGATCCACCCCATCATGACCTCTGGGAACAAATGGAACACGATGATTGTAAAAAAAAAAACCCAGCAAGCTTGTGTGTCTTATCAGGCTTGTGCCATTAGGTAATCTTTTAGAAGTCAATAGAAGCTCTTATATTTAAAATAAGATGTACAGGTGAAATCCACTCTGTGAATAAATTGAGGAAGGTAACTAATAAGTGGCAACAAATTATTATGCTGAGCAAACATGATACTCTGTATCTGTATACTCTGTAAAGGGCTTAAAGCTGACACATGTGTTATGCCATTTCATAGACAGTCCAGTAGGTGGCACTGTGTTCCAAGTAGTGTAGCTCGGTATGGCCCTTGGCTTTGAAGAGCTCAATACCAATGAGAATCAGCTGGCTTTACAAGAGGTTACAATCAAATGGATTGTAACCAGAAATACTATTGATTAATTGAAACTAAACATAATTTCTGTTTGATGGAAAGACCAGGACAGTGGGCTTCTCTACTGGCAGTAACATATGGTACAATCCTGTTGTAAAAAATTGCATTCCAAATTATTGATGACCTAGTCTTCTGTTTAAAGAAGAACAGCTGATGTGTGGTGAGCGTTCTGGCGCACTATGGCTGCCGTCGCATCACCCAGGTGGGGCTGCACACTGGTGGTGGTGGAGGGGAGTCCCCATTACCTGTAAAGCACTTTGAGTGGAGTGTCCAGAAAAAGCGCTATATAAGTGTAAGCAATTATTATTATTATTAATTAAGAGCAATTGTCATCATCTTCCTGTACTGTTTCATTTTGCAATGAGAAAACCACCCTCATGCTTCTTCTGAAATGTGATTTTGTTTATACAGGGAACACCGATAAACTGTTTTTTCTACAGTACTATGTTGTGTGTATTGCAATAGGAGCGAATATGCATTGGCAGGTGGCATCGGCAACCTCTAGCTGTGCTGGACGAACAGGAGAAGACCCACTTCATCCACCACGGAGGGGCAGCTGTAACTGGGAGGTGCACCAGCAGCCCCACGTCACAGCAGATCTGGGGTGTGAAGAAGTGAGAACTTGCTTCGCCAGCTGGATTTGGGGGGAACTGAGTCAGAACACCAGTGTTAACACCCCAGCTCTTTAGTTGTCATTAAATGACCAAGTCCTCAATGACAAGGCAGCCAGGACCCCACTTTAATGACATGCTCACCTTAGTTTACACAGGGTGTATGTCCATTCTCAAGGAGCCCAGTCATCCCAGTCACAAACTGTTTTCTCTCCTACCATCCGGTAAACGGTATCGAGTCATTCGGTCGAAGTCCAACAGATCACGGAACAGCTTCTACCTCCGGGCAATAAGACTGCTAAACAGCCAACCTGCAGCTCCTTTAGCAAATCACCATAATGGCTACATGGACACAGTTTTCACTGTATTCAGTATTCAAAAACGAGTTTGACCCCCTGCATTATAGGGATTTTTAATGATCACAGAGAGTCAGGACCTCGGTTTTGCATCTCATCCGAAGGATGGCACCTTTTTACAGTATCCCCATCACTATACTGGAGCATCAGGACCCACACTGACCGCAGGGTGAGCGCCCCCTACTGGCCCCAC